TTGTTTTCAGTGAACTACATTGGCTATAGTGGGACACAGTGATAAACTATAAATATCTTGTTTAATATTTTTCAAGATAATCCTATTCTTTTTCATTGTGTCCAGTGGTTGCCAACTTGACTATAGTGGGACACAGTGATACCACAAATACAAATGTGCGTGACGATATTTTATTGCTTTAGAAATGTGATTAAAAAATGCATATATTGAATCACGCACAGAGTATTCAATATATTTTCACGACAGGTTGGGCAAAATACATATAGGCCCCCTAATTGATTCTCCTGACGCAAATCCAGGTATTGTCTATCGTCACGAAAATAACATTTACCGTTCAATAATAGAACAGTCATCGACCTACTTGCAGTGAATTGAATCTAAAATGTATTCATGATGTTATGATGATCTGAAGTGTTTAAAAACGTACACAATAATAGTTCAACCAGCTTTACCACAAACACAAATGTGCGTGACGATATTTTATTGCTTTAGAAATGTGATTTCAAAAAAGTAGTGCATCGTATACGTAAGGGCTTGTTTTATTGTTGTTTTTTTACTTGCAGCGTTTGGAAAATAGGTAATAGGTAAATTGTAATGAATATAATCAATAATATATAGCATCTAAACCCTATTATTGAAGGGTCCTTTTAAAGTTTAAATAGGATTTCTTCAAGTTATATTTTTAGATCATTAGACCTATTGAATGAGCCCCCAATAGCCCCGGGCCCCAGTGCTGTGCACTGTCTGCACTGTCCATACCTACGCCACTGGACCTAAGTATTATTAGTGGTTACATAACGTTTGCTATGCACTGTATCATGCGCTATAGAAGTGGAAGACCATAATGTATTGGAAATATACCCCTCTCTCTCTGGTAGGGCCTACAGTAGGCCTACAATCAGTTTAAAAGTGTAATGTAATGGTAATGGTAATGGTGGGATATTTGTAGTGCGCCTTCCACAATAAAATCGTCTCAAGGCGCCGATGTTATTGTGTTATCCAATGTATAGGATAGTGTGGATTTATACATTTTCCTAATGGTAATGTTCAAAATAAGTGTCAAGGAATTAAGTAAGTATGATTGTTGGAAAAAATGGTAAACATTTTATTTTGAATTCTCACCCTGACCTTCGCCTGGGCGCAGTGGGCGAAGGTCTAGATCCGCGTCTAGTTAGCATGAATTTTGTAAGCCAGAACCCATAGTATTTTGTTACGTTTCTTCACAGAGTGGGGTTTGTCCGAACCCCCTGAATCCCCCCACCCACGGATCCGCCACTGTAATGTGCTAATAGTTAATATAGCTTTTAACGATGCGAAGCGAAGACGAGGTCCCCCAATTTTGTGATTAAATCGGCAATGCCCTGAGAAAACTTCAAGCAACAAATTGAAATGCTTAAAAAAGAATGTGCATGTTTTACTAGAGTGCACGAGAAGCACACACACACGCGAGTGACCATTATATTTTGTTCACGGTAAACAAAGGGGGGTGGCTAGCCACCCTATTCAACCATCCCCCCTCCCCTTCCCCAGATCCGCCAGTGATTGGGGTTTTTTTTATTTAAATAAAGCAAACTATATTTGTAATTGAATTATATAATTTTGTAATTGTATTTGTAGATTTATGATTTAGGCCTATATATGTAAATGGGAGGAACTTTAATTGTGTAATTGTTAATCACCATAGGAATTTAAATTATTTTTACGTATGTATGTGTGTCAGAAGGTGCACAAATGAATGGTGTAGTAGTGTGAGACCGGGGCGGTTTTGCCGCTATTTAAAAAATGTCAATGTATATTAATATTATGTGCTACTCATTTATCTATTCTGGAACTGTTTTGTGCCCCCTCCCCCTTTGAAAAAATTTTGGATCCGCCCCTGTGACAAGTATCAACAGTACAGTAATAATGACATCATACCAATTTCTTCTTAAAGTTCAAAACCCACTGTTTTTTTTTTAAACTTGTGGAAAGGATAAAATTGACTAAGTTAGTATAATTTAAGATATATCATTATTTTTATGAATGTGGGTATGTTTGTTTGTTTATATATTTATTTACTCTAAGATAGAGATTTCAGGCTATAAAGGAAATTCCCATTCCCAATAGGATTCACTTACCATATACATTCAGAACAAATAGTACTTTATTATTTGTTAACCTAAAAATCCATTAAATAGGACTTGCTATACATAAGGCTATAGGCGTCTTCCCTGGATCCGGCTGGGGCTTTCCCCTGCCTCCCAGGCAAAGCTTGAGCAATTGTTAGCTCAAAAATAGAAATAATAGAAATTTTTAAGTAATTCGTATATAACTCGCACATGTTGTTGTTCGCACAAGTGGATCTTCTCCGGCTCGAACTAGCATCCGCTCGAAAAAAAAAATCCGCTCGAATTGGCCTTCGCTCGAAGTGGCATCCGCTCGAATTCACTGGTTCCCAGGCTGGGGCATGAAAGGTTGTTGTTAAGGTGGTTGTTATTTCGCAATTCGCGACGTCATCAACGAGTACAATACATTCAATCCCGTAACATGATTGGTCTATTTTTTTTCTAATTTGCATAATGAATTTTTCCAACATTTTTGTCTATTTAAAAAAAAGTGTGTAAGTTATTGAGATGGTAGCAATCATAAATCGATTATAAATTTAATTATACATTTTTAGACAAAAAATAAACCATCTTGGCCCACGACCCATTTTTTTTTTGACACCATGACCATGCGTAATATTAACCTGCAGTGTATATATACGAAGAATTTTTTCTAGTAGGATAAGAGTTGACTAACTGGTACTAGGTGTGGTACTAGGTTTATCGCATTTATGGCTTAGGGGCCGTGGTTTACCTCCCTCCGTTTAGTCATGCTGGATCAGGAGTAGTAAACTCGGCGATCGTGGGTTCGATTCCCACACGGGGCAAATTTTTTTTTTATTTTTTATTTATTTTTTTTTTTGGAAGGTCGTGGGTTCGATTCCCACACGAGCCATTTAAAAATTTTTTTTTTTTTAAGGCAGTTTAGTTGAGGGTGGATAATAGCAAACCTGGTGGTTGTGTGTTCAATTCCCACACGAACCAATTTTTTTTAAGGCAGTTTAGTTGATGGTGGATAATGAATAGCAAACCTTGAGGTTGTGTGTTCGATTCCCACACGAACCAATTTTTTTTTTTTTTTTTTTTTTTTTTTGCGGGCGTAATTCATAGACAGGATTGTTCATTCAATTCATATTGAAATTATTGTTCTGATGGTGATTCTTTTTTCATTCAATGGGAATTCATATACTTTATATGAGAAGAATCTATGAATATTTAGCCTTCCCTTTACTGGATCCGCCACTGATTATAGATCTGGAATTGGAACATGACCGAAATCCGTTTTGGTATACCAATACCTCAACCATCCCATGCTAATCATCCGTGCCTCAATTAATATAGAGGGCGCTTGTTTCTTTGTTATTATTCTCAGCCCTTTTTTCAGAATAGTTTCGTGTTTTGGTGTGCATTGGTCCATATTACTTGCTTAAAATGTCATTTAAACATGGGCCTTTATCTACCTTTGGTAAAAAACCAGATACTTTTAGATTTGAAGAAGGTGGTGAAAGGTATATGATCGGGTCTGAGGTAAATTATTGTTTTAAATAGCAAAACAATGCCATGCCTAGGCAGGCCTAATGCTCGGACATTGGGTTTCCGACTGGGCGCAAGACGCTATATCTGGCATGTGCCGGTTTTGAATAGCTTAGGCCTAGGCTAGGCTAGGCCTAGTCTTAGTTGTCAATGTCTAGGATGGATTGATATATATGGCCTAGCTATCCTAGGTCAAGTCTAGATAGTTATTACCTCAACAAGTGTATGCTCTAATAATAAATGCACATTCGACCACACAAATTTATTTTTTTTTTAATTCTCCATATTATTTCATAAAATATTACTGTATACATTACTGTCCTAGCTAGGAGTAGGAGTGCCATGGCATACTGTTCCATGGCCTATCTAGGGTCCACGTAGACAGGGTAGGCTAGGCCCGACCTACTTAGCTGGCTAATCTCAGTAGCCTAGAGTCTCCAGACTTTTAAGTGCGTGGGGAGTATATCCTCCGCGCAAAAATTTAGCCTAGAAATTTGCGCATTTCAGAAAAAGGGACTGATTTCCGCGCATATTTTTTCGAAAATTGGGCTTTGACCAAATCTTAATATAGGCCTATGTTAACAATGCAGTTATGCAGCAATTATGATTCCTTACACCTAGGGCTATTTTCCTAGCGATTTTTCGTGCAAAGTTGAGCTGATTTTTTACTCTGCACAATTAAAACACTTTACAGTATGGGGTAGTCTAGGTTTAGACTAGAAACCCTTCCAGCATATCCTACCTAGTAAGGTCGGCTGATATTCAGGAGCCAAAAACTGTAAAGTACGGGGTATCGTTTTAACGTACATCATTCCTGGCTAAGTCCGGTAAAATGCCCCGCTAATAAATGATTGGATGATAAGACCTATTTGAAGGTCTACAGGACTACAATTGACAAGTTCATCCATAGGCTTTCACTTAACCTCAATTAATATGCCACCAGTGTATGTATTATGTAATAGTTACGATTCTGTGCACCTATTTTCCTAGAAATTTTCCTTGCAAATTTGAGCTAATTTTTTAGGTATTTTGTAAATTTGATTTCAAGTGCAGCTTGAAGCTTCAAGTCAAGTTAATTGATAGAATTGGGTTATTTTTATCTAAGCTCAATAGGATTCTCATTTCTAAACACATCTTATCAGTTTTCTATCTATTAAAATTTTTATCAAGGTTGGTAATTACTTGCGCATGTTCAGAGGTTCACTCTACAAGAAGTATCCATCACTATGGCGTCGCTTAGCAACCATGCAGGAAAGGAGGATGATTGTAAAACTAGGAGAGCGTAAGTTGACATCAGTTTTTGATTTCTTTTATATGGAAACCGAGAACATTATTTTCTTGTGTTGTTTTTTTTAAAAGTAATTTATATAAAATTTCTTTTCCATCACATTACAGTAAGTAATTTAAGATCCAATAATTTTTAGATAGGTAGGCCTAAAGTTTTTGACTGTGGCTACTGTATTTAGAAAGGATAAATAAACAATTCTGATTATTTCTGTAATAATGTACAGTACCACAGATTACTCTATGAAAATTGATATTTTATTATCATCACCTATTGTACATGTTTGCTATAAATTTTCTTTATTGGTCATTCCTATTTCACTGTACCGGAGCCATATGCCAGAAAATCAGTACTCTTGTACATCAAAAGGCTGGAACTAACCTTAAGTCATTATTCATTTTAGACATAGACATAACTATATCATTTTCTCCATTTCTGGATACCTGTCCTGACATTCAACGTCAACATTGTGTTTTCCTTGTTTGATTTGAAAACATAAAGTTGTAACCGTTGTATTAACACGCTGGCTGCCAAGCTTTTTTTTTCTAGTTTTATCTCATACACCAATGCATAGAGTGCCACCATAATGAATATCATTCCTATCAACTGTAATGAAACCCAAAGAAACAGTATTTATTCTTTGATCATTATTTGTGCGTTCTTCCTTGAACCTTCAGGACGAGAGTTCACGTTCTGGTGACCACTGACAGTGAGTGTATGTGCAATACAATAGTAGTATGTTTTTGTTGATGTGAACTCGCGTCCTGGGCGCCCTAACTTAAACCCTGGCAGACATGAACTTGTGTCCTTGGCAGCGAGTGTATTTGAAAGATAACTAAAATTATAGTTAAAATATATGGTATTTCATGGTGAAATACCTGATTTGTAAATATATTGTAAATAGAACTTTGCTTCTATAATGCTATGTATATTGTAGGTTTTGGTCAGCATGGTTTGGCAACTAATGTTACCTTATTGAAAGCAAGAGAGGTAGAAGAAGTTCTTGAGGGAAATGATGAAAAGTACAAAGCTGTCTCAATCAATACTGAACTGACACCACTAAGGTGAGTCAGGTAGAATTATTAACCAGAATAAGTTTCTCATAAATGCAGGATGAAATGATCTACAAAACTTAAATGCAATATTTTTCTCTTTCGATTTTATTTTTAGTCATGGGGTGTTGTTTTGCCCTAGAACCATCAAAATATAATATGCAGTACCCGCTGCTACTTGGGGGATCAGATTCAACACTAGCCACGAAGTAAAAGCTTGGTGGTCTAGTGGTTGGGACACAAGGCTAGTTATCTGGAGGTCATTGTTTTGAATCCCACCTGAATCATTTGCAAGATTTTTTTCGCAAGTATTACGTACTGAGTATTCAGTTTGGGCAAAACATCATTCCTAATATTTTCTTCATTGATCATTTGACATTGTAAGCAATTTGGGAGTTATTTTTTTATAATGAATTAGGGATTCGAAACAAAAGCGTAGCCGTGACTGGGTTCCTGCTATGCCTAATAGTTCCCATCATTTGGACGCAGTACCTTGCTCAACGCCTATAAGCCGCACCAGGATAACAGGCAAACGGCAGAGAACATTCCCATTATGGTAGGTACAGTAGAACCTAATTTTTTACAATATTCTAATTTTCAGTTTCAGCCATTTATGGTGATACTAGTAGGGTTGCATCAAAGAAAAGACCAAATATTATACAATTCTATAGCAATTAAATATTTAGGACATCTAAATGAGGGCCATAATCCAGAATTACTTTGGTAGGTTGTGGGGTATGTACAAATTGACCAACTGGGTTATGGAGTTTACCTTGCATTTTCGGCAGAGTCGAGCTTCATTATTGTAGGGATTGTAGCACCCAATCACAACGGGTAACAATTGCGATATCGATTACTTATCGACTACTATTGGTGAGCTTTCACGCACAATTTTACTTTGCGATTGTGTGTCACAATTGCTACAACCGATCACAATGCTAGTCTGAATGGGGTATAATAGTACATATGATCCTTCTTAATTAGCTATTCAAAATATAAATTTATAAAGTTTTTTCCTATCTTTTAGTAATAACATTTATTTTGAAATAGTCATAATAAGCATAGTACAAATATAGTGATATAATTGTTAAAGTGTAAATATAAACTGAATAAAGACTATTTCAGGAATCAAAATTAGAAGATATCATCTTGTCTCATGATGATTTCTGAAGATCTTTTGACTGATAGTAAATCTTTAGGGTGAATTCAGTTTTAAAAGAAATCTTCCTTTAGTTTGTGGGGACGAATTGCACTGCAGTGGCCAGTATGTGATGCCATCTTCCTCAGTCAGCATCTTATCATGATAAAGCTACCAGTCTCTTTTCTGTCTATTCCTTTATGTTGTTGGTACACAACATGTTGTTCTTATATACAAATTGAGATAATTCAAATACGATTTATTTTTAAAATATTGTATAGCTTTGATGACCATGACCCCTCAGTCCATCATGAAAACGGCGCACACCCTGAAGTTCTTGTTCCGATCCGATTGGACATGGAAATAGAAGGCCAGAAACTGAGGGATACTTTTACATGGAATAAAAATGGTAAGATAATTAGTAATGGGGTGTATACCTAACTTCAACAAACTGCCTCTGTTGATCTGTAAGATCTGTTTGTAAAATAGACATAGGGCTTTTTCTCATTGCCAGGATGAGAACAGATGTTGAAATCATAAATTGTAAAATTAAATGAAAAGGCAAAAAGTAAAAAATTATGTAATAAAAAAAACACATGGAAACCAAAAGGGGACCTCAGTGAGACTCAATTTAGGGCTGCAATGGTAATAGTGAGAGTGATGTGAAGACTTCTAACCACTGCGCTATAGAAACCGACGCTGCTGAGGTCAGTGCATCTTAAGTTTGCCTAACTTGCGTAATTTCACAGGTTCATGCATTTCACAGTAATTTTGCGTTTAACATAGTTGTAGCTAGTTTGAAATGTTTTCGAAAATGCAAATTGTTTAATTACCCATTTATTAATATTCAAAATATTGAGAATTTTGTCATTTTAATATGCACATCCTTGATATATATTCTTTCATGCGGTTTCATGTTCCTATAGACCATTTTATTGGGTTTATTTTGGAACAGCGCCGCCAACGTCTCACAACTCACAGGGAGACTTCTAGAGGCCTACGCACTTCGCGCTACCTAGTTTTCAGTGTGTGCGCGATGCCCTATTTGACACTACTAGCTAGGCTACCCCCAGTTTGTAGTTGTCAGGTTATCGGAAATTTTCATTTTCAAGCCTCAAATTGGTTGGCAATCAATTTAGATATTTTGTAGTAAAACTTCTGCCGTGTCAGGCAGTTTCAGTCAATAACTTATATAAATGTAATCCTTTCAAAATACTGGTGTTTTGTAACTGAATTTTTAAGATTTTTTTTCAATGTTATGACAAGTTCTCTGATTTGTGGGGGTGCGGGGAGGTGATGGTACCTGACAAGAGGTCCAAGCTCTCTAATAGGGAGCTTTCGATTTGTGCAACGACGCGACGCTAGAACAGAATCACTCATGCGTGACCGTCCTACCTGACCTTATGTTCTCTGCATACATGGATTTGACCAAATTGCGTTCCAGAATCTGCTCGACGAGGTGACCTTAACGTTCTCGCATGCGAAGATGACTTTTAGTGACGTCATTACGTTCTACGTCCTACCGTTGTGCAATCGAAAGCTCCTTAATATTGGGTCCAAATCCACCTCAGCCCCACCATGATTCCCTCTCCACTAATGCGATACTTTTATCAGATGAGATTTGTGCATTTACGGTATAATTGTACTAAAAAACTTACTAAAATGCAATCTTAAATGTACTTTTAAATTTCACCAGAACACCTTATTACACCTGAGATGTTTGCAGAGGTTCTCTGTGAAGATCTTGAACTTCTACCTCTGAACTTCGTGCAGCCAATTGCACAGGCTATTAGGAGTCAGGTGGATGCCTACCCAGCAGACAACAGTATTCTTGAGGCTAATGCTGATCAAAGAGTTATCCTGAAAGTAAGTGACATCTTATCTAGGAATCTTGAAATTATTGTTGTTTTGTTGTTCATTGTTATTGTATCATTTGATCTTGTAAATACGTCTATGATAGACCAGAGACGTCAACCTTTTTATCGATAAATTTTGTGTTAAAGTTATATAATGAACATTGATTTGATAGCATGTTACATACTCCAAGTATCGTGTCAGGATTCATACATTGATCTGTCATTGTAAATTGTTATTAAAAATATCAATATATTTTTTGCGATAAAACCACCGACGGTCAGAGTAATCTCGCTAAAAAGGTCAAGACAATCAACTGGTGATTTAATCTCGAAAACCTTATTCTTACACATGATTTTCCAAAAGTTAATTATTTTGTTATTGTTAATGTTATTTATGAAAGCAGTAAAGGTCATGTTTTTTTTTTCAAATTAATACCTGCAAAACTTTACAATTTTTTCTTATGGTTTATCATTATTACTATTGTATCAAATTGAAAACACTACTCTGCTGTTGCCAGTAAAATCATGTTGTTTCTGTCAGTATAATTGTTATTAATAATAATATTATTATTCATTTATCATTTATTTTCAAATATTTTACTAGCAGTGAATGTAAATATATACTGTAATAGAAATTCTGTAAATTATCATACTGTTTCAGTTTTTAAATATTTAATAAGATTAGTATTTATATGACTTATTTTTCATCCATCATTTACAGTGAAAGATTTTTGTAATTAATTCTGTAAATAATAAATATAAATATTGGATTGTTTCATTTTTAAAATTAGAAATTTTAATTTGAAAAATTTAATGTTTTAATTAATTGTTTTTTTTGTTTTTTTTTTCATCCCTGATGTTACCACAGATATTATTATATACTTAACTCTGATGATTATTAAAGCTACAGTAAAGCCCCTATTAAGGGGACACCTTCAGGACCCAAAACATTGTCTCCCTCATAGGGTTAGCCCCTGAATAGGGGATGGTATTAAAAGATATACTTTCCCTTGGTTTGTTCCCGAAAAAGTGTCCCCATAATAGCGGTGTCCCAAAAGAGGGGGTTTCTACTGTATTAATGCTACAGTACTTGTGTGAGTCTGATTTTCATGTTTTAAAACAGTTAACCATTTACTATGTGCACCACAACCACAAACTTTCAAATAATTTACAGTAAACAATGTATTTTGATTAATTTTTATATTGTATTTAAAAAAAAAAAATTATTGCGGTTATTTTTCCCTTCAGCTCAATGTCCATGTTGGCAATGTGTCTTTAGTAGACCAATTTGAATGGGACATGTCAGAAAAAGAAAATAGTCCAGAATTATTCTCGCTTAAGCTGTGTTCTGAACTGGGTCTTGGTGGGGAGTTTATCACAGCTATTGCATACAGTATTCGAGGCCAGCTTAGTTGGCATCAACGAACATACGCATTCAGGTAGGTTTATCTTTTGGAAACGATTACTATGAAAACCATGTTTATTATCAGGGATGCTAGAAGAACAAATTGCTCAAAATGTGTTTCGTGACCCACTAGTAGGTTGCTGGAATTAATTGGTTGCGCACATAGGCCTCGACATAGAGAGCCATATGATACTGGCATAGATCTAATCCGATAGATACTTTTTACTTTTTATATTAAAGATTTATGCCCATTGCGTCCTGGGATGTTTGCCATCCGTCCTTTTGCAACACAGCCTTTTGGTAAAAGGCGATTAAATATGCGGATTGATATCAGTTAAAAAATGTACTTTTGTATTTGAATGGTGAAATGTACACTTTTTCTTAATTCAATAATTTCTATGCTCAAGGTAATAATTTGTATGTTACTGCAAAATGAACAAGTTATTTCAATTTTTTTTTTTTTAATGATTTTTTGTCATTTTTATGGGACAATACATCTTTAAAATATTACAAATTCCTTAAATTATTTGTCATGATTTTGTCATATTTGTCATTTATTCAATTTCAACATTCTGCATTAACAATTTCAAAATTCTTCATCGCCGCATGAACTCTGTTAGTGCTACACATTGTTCATGACCCCCCTCATTTATATGACCAGACAGCTTGCAACAGCATCTGATATGTCAAGGGTGAGTGGATTAATCCCACCTCACAACCTACCATGTTCTAGCTGTAGAATACCTTAAAACCTTAAACAGAAGCCCAATGGGCTTAATCTCGAAAATAAGCCCATGTCGAATTGAAACCCCCTCTTTAGTTCGCAAAAGTAGCCTCGAAAAGAAGCCCTCAAGTTAGCAAGGCCTTCTTTTCGAGATAGTGTAGTACATATGCTGTACATGAATAAAAAAAAATAATAATAATAAATTAAAAACATGCTTGATTTATACAGTATTTAATACACTTTATGATACAGATTGATGTTACCCTATTTATTGTTTTGTAGTCGTAATTCCCAAAATTTACAGCATTCATTTTTAAAAGAAGCACCCCCCGCCCCCTCTTTACTTTGCAAAATAAGCCTCAAAAAGAAGCCCAGGGCTTCAATTTGAGGTTTTACGGTATTATAGCTGTAGAATTAAAATTTGACCATCTGTCAAAGCTCTGTACACACTGTCACACTTTCTTTGTCAAGGAACTGTATGCCCATATATAGTCATGATGTGCCTATATATGGCCATGATGTGATGTCATCATGACCATATTTAGGCATGTCACATGTTTTTTGTCAAATACAATAGTGTGGACAGGGCTTATAAAATAAATTTGCATATAGTGGCATTGCTATTCTATGTGTGTCCACTAACTGAAGCAGCACAATCTTTTTATATTCCATTTTGCTAATTAACCTATTGGTTGAAAATTTCAGTACTGATGTCTCATAAAATGCCAATTCCCATCGCTGCCTCTCCTTGTGTTTCAGCTGGAGGGCTGAAATACAAGTTACAATAGCGCACCGTCTTTCAGATGAGATGTTTAAGCCGTTGGTCTCGTGTGCATTTATGGTCCATGTGCATGTTAAAGAACGCAGTACACTCTTCGGAAAAGAGTAGGGGATTGTCTCCCGGTGTACTGCCCAATCACCACTAGAAGGACCCCACTGGAAATAAGTGTTTTTCTAGACTTTCGTGGGCTATCCTTGGTGTTTACACCAAATAAATCCAGTCCAATCCATAGACACTATATATAGAAAAACTAAAATTGTGATAAACCAGTGTTACTGTATGTTTTGCTTGTTATACTATAATTCAGTGTTTAAGCTATCATTAGCCAAATAGCCATATCTTAGTAACAGGTGAATTTTCCTAAATATTTTCATTCAAGATTAGCCAAGAAGCTAATGGAATTAAAGCTGTCATTGCTTCTATTTTTTTTTTTTTTGGCTAATCAAATTACAATTTATCTAATTATTTTTATACTGAATGAATTGTTATCTGCCTAGGTGCATACACAACACAACCACCAAACTTGAACTAAAACATCAGTATTTTGGAAATCAATTGAAAGAGATCACTTTTTTAGCCTGGCAATTTAAACACAAAGGAATATTTGTGTATATATGATCCTTCTGACTTTGTAGCTATAAAAGTGAGATTTAATTATGCCATATCACCAGTAGAGTATAGTTAGATTGGGTGATCACAGCGATTGTCCTGCACTAGGCAAGACTTAGCCTGATCAGGGAAACTAACACCCCTTGCCAAAACGATGATTTTCAGGATCCTCCTGATTCGAGAGGAGAGTACCTGTTAACGGTCCCACCTTGGGTGGCAGGCATTTATTCATTCATTGGCTTGGCTGTGTATATGTCAACCCTTCATGGTCAATGACAGCCAAGTGTCTTCAACATGATGATGGCTAATGAAACAAGTATCAAGTAAGTAAGAATTAGCCATATTAAACCCTGCTAAATGTGTTATTTCTTTTATAGTGAGGCACCATTACCTACTGTTGAGATTGCGATTCGTAACCAAGGAGAAGCAGACTCTTGGTGCCCATTCCTGGAAACCCTGACAGATGCTGAGATGGAGAAGAAAATCAGAGATCAAGACAGAAACACAAGGTATGGAAGGCCAGAATTCATATAAATCCCTGTCCACACTATCAAATTCTATTTGACAAAAACATGTGCATGATGACATCACATTATGACCATATATAGGCACATCATGGCTATATATGGGCATACATCATGGCTATATATGGGCATACAACAGCTTTTTGCCAAAGAAAAATTTGATGATCTGGACAGAGCTTAATGTTTATGTTGATGTCTGTATAACGCCACAGTGACATTTTAGTCTCGTATTGACCCGCAGTACTTGACAAGAACTTCCTACGATGAAAGTATTGTGAAAGTGTTTTTGAGGTGTGCGGTAGATGAAAACGTGTGTGCATAAATTAAAAAAAATGTTTGTCACAACTTAATTTTTTGGCCACTCCCGTGAACAGTGTACATGAACTATACATAATGTACAGTAGGCACAACTATGGAGTGACAAAAGCATGCCAGTGCGTGACCATTTAGCCTAGTAAGCACACGCTTTAAAGTGATGATCACGACTAGGTTGCACATAACTTGAGCATTTTCACTCCCAACATATTTTGAGGTAACAAGGTTTTCATATCTTAAGCATACCCAGCGGCATGCATTGGCTGCACATACTTTCTGTATAGGTTGCACATGACATGTGCATAATGCATGCTTGCGCAACACACGAGCAACACACACTGTCATGCGATCTGCTTGTCTATAAATAGCATGCATATTGTATTGGATATAATATTATTTGGATTGTGTTGTGGCATATATTAGGTTGTTACGCATTTTGTTAACTGCTCATAACTTAAGCATGAAAAATAGCACGATGTTGTGCAAAATATGTGTTTCTTGATTGTTGTGCCGACCAGGCTGCATGCAACTATAACTGCAGGACAGTGCGAAACCAAAATAAGTGTCATAATTCTTTAATGTAATTTTAAAACAACAGAGGGTGCTACAATCCCACTAGTATTTGATTACAGTATAATGGAGTCAGAGATGGCGTCAGCATTTTCCCAACAGGTGGTCCATCATTTCCCAACAGATTGGCCACACCCACCTCAGCCTATATTTGGGGCTAAGACTAAAAATATTAGGGGTTGCTGATACTGATGCTCGAAAATGGCACTCTTAGGCCAGCGTTCTCTTGCCTAGTGTTTCTTATTATTTTACCATGACACCCTTGACAGTAAGTCCATTGTCCCAAATGCTTGTGCGTCACCTTAATGGTGCACAGATATTTACATGAATTCATACGTCTCTTTTGAATTAACAATACAGTATAATTATGATGTAAACAGTAGAAATGAAATAAATGCTTAGATTTTATTTATTGATTTTGATCTTTCTCTTATAGACGTATGAGAAGACTTGCAAACACAGCCCCCTCATGGTAATATTGGTCTTGAGAAGATAATAGAGGAATGATGAACAACCCATGATGTGATGCTGTCAGCTGATTTTTATACTTCAACTTTACCTGTCACCAAAGGTTATAGGAACTATAGAGAGCACAGTACACTTGTTATGAGTGGAAAAAAAAAACTTGCAAACACAGCCCCCTCATGGTAATGTTGGACTTGAGAAGAATATAGAGGAATGATGAACAACCACGATGGTGCTGTAGATGTGAAGCTGTCAGCTGACCTTTACACTTGAGCTTTACATATCACCAAATGTGTAGAAACCGAAGAGAGCACATTACATTTGTGAGTGTAAACAAACGATACACCACTGTCCGCAGTTATGAGAGGACACCCGCTGCTGGCCAGTTGGCGCTTTTCGTTACCCAGTAGTTATTAGAGGAGTGAGGTATTTACAAACAGGACTGTGCTCTTTTTAGTTTCTGTACTCTTTGCCATTACTTGCAGTATGTCACTGTTCATTCATTTTGGAGAAATTTTTACCAAATAAAATTTGATAGTTCGACAGGGCTTTGCTCTTGGTTAGCTGTCAGAGGGCGCTATATTTATAGCGATTACGTTAGCCAACTGTCTGGGTGGGTAACCATTTAGGCATAAGTCACGTTGCAGTATTTATCATTGTTGTTATGGACAGATTTTTCATAATGGCAAATACATCAACCTGTTTTGGTATTTGGAACAGTTAAAATATGAGATGTGATTAAAATGAATGTCACAGAGGTAAAGCATTATTAGAGATAAGGCAAATATCAATCTTCTGTTTCAATATGAACATGGTTATTTGTACCAAATTTTTGTGTAATAAAAACGAATTTAAATGACACTCTTGTTGCAAAAAATTTCTTTCAAATGTGGATGTAAACATGTGAAACAGTTGATAGTCTAATTTTAATACAGTAGTATACAAATAATGAATGTTTGGAGAGTGGCGTTTAGCGAAAAATATCAGGTTTGTGCGGCGCTTATTCATTTTATATGCATACATACATGTATTGACCTACCTGTAGGCCTATGTATTGACATATATGACATATCGATATAATATAGGTAGGCCTACATAAATAATACAACCATATTAATTTGTCTTGTAGGCTTAATATTTTCTGTTAAGATGGATCATGTTGATAATTCTAATACAAATTTACTCTAATATTAGGCCTATCTTTTTATACAAAAAGTCCTTGGATATCATGTGCCTAGTCCAGACCTCTGGCACAGTGGGCACTGCGGGCCCCAAATGCACCGTGAGCAGTTTTAAATCAATAATAATGTCTTCTTTTTTTTCCCTAAAATCTTGACTGCGGGCACCCGGCGGGCTAGCTTTGCCCGCGCGGGCAGTTGGTGGATGTCGAATGCGATTCCCGCGGGCAAAGTGTGGGCAAAAAGTGCACTACCCGCGATCGGTAATGTAGTCTGTAGGAACTGCTTTCGGTTACATAAGGAAGGTGTTGTCAGACAGCTCGAAGTTTAGTTGTTCAAATAAATAAATATGTGACGACAAACCGTCGGCAGGAAGCACGCTGTATTGTGGTAAATATAGAAGAGAAGACTTATACGAATTACATACTTTTCATTTTGATATTACCCTCGCCTCAGACCCTCGGAAGGAGGAGGCGAGGGTATTGCAATGGTGCGCCAGTCTGTCTGTCTGCATGTCTGCCTGTGATGTGTTTGTCCTTCCGGGCGCATAACTCAAAAAACAGATTGGCAATATTAATGTATCTCGGTCCTCCATGTAGATGTAGATTTTAGAACGTTATTTACATATTTTTCGGTCGAAACTGACTGAGCCAACACGAGGGGATCGTTCGACCGAGTTGTTTGGCTAGGCCAGGCTGACTCGAGCGGTTCGATTTGGTTCGATCTGGTCTGTGGACTGGAACAGACAGCGTGGAGTCCGATGATGCTTGGCTTCGTTTGGTGGATTGATTGAAGAAGAAGATGCAGATTTTATGTGTTTTAAACAATTTCCGGCTCTATAGCTCACAATCTACTTTCTCAATTATATACAAAAATAAATAAATAAAAATTATTTAAAATAATTAAATATGAAAAAAGTATTCTATAGATGCATAAGTAATAAAAAGATAATAGTAATCATAACAAAATAATAATAATAAAAAAAAAAGCACCAAACAAACAAAAGGGATTTGAACCCCATACATTCCAATAACTTTACACACAATACGTACACTTTTACAGCTCGGTTTATATTTCACCTGTTACACCCCTATAATGAAACAACAACCAGCTGATTGAGCGAATCGACTATGATGGTCTCAATGGTTAGGGCATCTGCAGACAGCAGAAGGTCCCTGGTTTGAATCCCGGTTGGGGACCTATTTTATTTTTTGTTTTTTCACACTCACAGATAAATTGCTCTCCTTTAACGTTTAATAAATGTATTTATATATATTTAAGCAAGTTTGTCTTTATCATATCATTATATATAAATAAATATATATATATATATACTGTTAAATTATATATACATTTGTAT